GGACACTGGTGCCGTTATTCTGCATGAAAAAGATTGTCAAAGGAAGTTTAAACATTAAATCAAGAATGCAAAGATCTTCTACTGGAGCACCCTCTTCCATTTTGCTGAAAACTCTGCCCTCCGCTTTAGGCCTGTGTTTCATGAATAGACACCTCAATTATGCAGCATTTGCAGCAGATGTGCACTATTTTAGAGTCAAATAGTTTCTGAGAAGTTGTCAGCTGAAGAAAACTGAACAAAAGGTCAGTGAACACCCCTGTCCGCAAACATTTGTGTACGTTTGGCATGGGGCTGTTTTTCATGGTTTGGTCTAAGACCCCTTGCTCTAATTAGGTGAAGTTTGGTGTGGAAAACCCTGATGCTCTTGTGGATGAATGGGAGCGAATCCCTGCATTTAGATTCCAAAAGTCATAGCAGCATATTAATGGCAGTGGTTTTGGAATTAAATGTTCATTTGCACGTCATGTATAGGGATCTAAATACATTTGACTATATGTTTGTTAAATGTGGCTGACTTGAATGAGTGATGGCGGAGTCAACATGTTCTCACTCCCCAACTCGTCACATGTGGACGCATGTTCAAGACCCATCGGCGTCAGTTTGTAACGCACTGGGCACCCGCAAATGACGCTAACAGAGTACCAGGGCGTCGAAAGTGACGCCAAAGGGCCTTGACCAAGTGTCAATATGTGATGAGTCGGGAGTGAGATGCGTTCCCATAAACTCAAGCTAAGTGCTTGCTGTCATTTAACAAGCATCAATTGGCTGCCTGTGTCAGAGAATAGTGGTGTAATGTGATGGGATGGATCAGTATATAAGTGTCTGTGGGTCTCAAAGAGTCAGCATGCATATTGACAGAATGAGAAATCAACCACCCCACCTCCGGGTGCCATGGACACTTATTGTCACTGGGTAGACCGTTTTACCCTCATCTTTCTTTCCTTCTCTCTCGCTCTCACTCACAGTTAACTAAATGACTCCTTTGTCTCAAACTGCCTCTGCTTTCCGAATATAACAAAGTCAAAAACAAAACAACCCAAACAAAAGCCTAACTACCAAGTTGATCTGATACGCTCTGTCCTTTCCTGTCCTTTCTGACCCTTCTCTCTCCTCTGTCCATGCTGGAGCTCACACTGAGTGAATGAATAGAGATCTGTGTAGATGTCTGTGCTCTGAATACTAAGATGTGGAGGGGGAGAGAGCAGAGGGAGGCGGGGTCAAGAGGAGGCCCATGTGATTGGCCGTGTCAATCTCCAGCTGAACTCTGAACCCTGCGGAGCTCCTGCCTACACATATAGTAAACACACAACTCGTGTATTGGACATATAGACCTTTTGAACAGTTAGAACACAATACAATACCAATTATTGTCCAAAGGAATGTACGCTTTGCAAAGCAAGGACCTTACACACAACATGTAGCAGCTAGCAACTGCACATGTATTAGTCCATTCATTCAGAATTTAAATGTTATAGCTGGTGAAATATTCCTATTCTCAACAAATATCATGAAAAGACTAACAAACAAAAACGCATTAGTCCGTCTCTCAATACTTTCCACCTTCCCTGCCCTGTCTGTGGCACTCAGCCCATTTCTTCCTACTGAAGATATAAATCTGTTGAGTAGTGTTAACTGATCTTTTTTTGGCCACCTGGGGGCAGCACAACAAGGTGAAAGCACAAAATTGACATATTATCACCTTATAAAGTTGTTATGGCCAACTTGTTGGCTGTTTATAGCAGACACTGTCTTTCAGGTCATGTTCCTGACCACCTGATGAGTGGAAATCCATTATTAATAAGACTGACAATATTTGCTTGAAGGTTCAATTCATTGTTGGTTTTGGTCTTTTCATGGGATCAGTTTGAAGCAAAACGATATCTGTGATGGTAATACTGATGGATTCCCTCTCTTGTAAAATGACTTTTCCCACTCGTTGAACGACCACACTCAAGGTTAGGATCTCTTCCTCTCTGTCCGGCTCTCCATCCGTCTCCTTCCCTCTGTCCTGTGCGCACAAGAATCCTTTGTTTTCAAGGAGATGAAAGGGACAAAAGCCACCATTGAAAAATACGACTGAGTGAGCGAGTGAGTGAAAGAGGGAGCAACTTAGACGGGGGAGAGGAGAGCGGTACGAAGCGTCAAAGTGTGTGTGGTGTGTGTGTGTGTGTGTGTGTGTGTGTTTGCAACTGTGTTTGATCGTGTGTGAGTATGCAGTGCTTGACATTGTGAGGAGGCATAGATGGTAGGAAGAAGAGAGAGAATAATTGGTTTCGGGTGACAAAAGGAGTGAATGAGGAAGAGGGAGAGAAATGGATGGTGAAGGAGAGAGAGGAAGGCATATGTGAAGTGAAGGTGGAGAAAACAGATCGGTGACAAAAGACGGTCATTAGTATTCCAGAGGAGAGAGTAATCCCTTCTACTCAGAGCCCCTGTCCAGTGTCCACAGCCATAAAGAACCCCCAGCAGCCAGTACACTGCAGTGAAAAGACTCAATACAACACGACTTGAATGGCTGTGACCACTG